ATTAGGCTTGAATTGGCAAAGTTGGCATTTTGGCGAATTCCGGTGGATAGGTGAGATTTTGATCCGAGGCTCGGAATGGAATTCCGAGAGTTGCAGTAGCTCCGTTAGGTGATTTTGGATATGTGTGCAAAATTTCAGGTCATTTGGAGGTGTTTTGGTCGGGTTTTTGATCGAATGCGTAATTCGGAAGTTTTTAAGAAACTTAGGCTTGAATTCGATGTGATTTGATGGTTTTAGCGTTGTTTGATGTGGTTTGATGATGGGAACAAGTTTGAATGAGGTTTTAGGATGTATTGGTGTTTTTGGTTGAGGTCCCGGGGGCCTCGGGGTGAATTCGGGTGGTTAAACGGAGAATAATTCAGAGTTTGTTGCAGGTTTGAAGTTGTTGGTTCTGTCATTTCCGCATCTACGGAAAAGGGACCGCATAAGCGGTTCCGCAGATGCGGCGTATTGGTCGCAGAAGCGGTCCTTGAGAGACCAGGGCTTTCCGCAGAAGCGGACGAAGTTTCACAAAAGCGGTCACCGCAAAAGCGGTCACCGCAGAAGCGGTTTTGGGACCGCAGAAGCGGTCCTGGGCGACTTGAAGGAAAATCGTAGATGCGGTGAGTAGGCCGCAGAAGCGGTGAAATTGTCGCAGAAGCGAAAACAACTGTTACAGAAGGGTTTTTTTTATATTGTTTTCATCCGCGAACAAGAGTTGGTTTCCACCATTTTAAAGCGGTTTTGAGAGCTTTGAGCGAGAATTTTCGAGGGCTTTGACTGAGAATCAATTGGAGGTAAGTTCCTTGGTCCAAATATTCGAGTTTATGGTAGAAATTACATGTAAATTGTGGAAAATTCATCAAAAACGGGTCAAGCTAGGGCTTGAAAAGTTGTGATGTAAAAACGGATTTTGAAAGGGCATTTGAACTCCGATTTTGGTAAAATTGGTATGTGTAGACTCGTGGCGAGACGAGGAATCCAGTGATGTAAATTTCGTAATTTTTCGAGAAGTGAGCCCGGGGCTCGGGTTTTGCCAACTTAGTGAATTTTGGTGTTTTTCGAGTCTTTTCGATTGGGTTATGTTTCTTTAGCCTATTTTAATGTATTCGTAGTGGTTTTAATCAGATTCGGCGTGCGAAGAGGTTGATTCGAAAGGCAAAGGCATAGCGAGCTAGACTTGTGGCCTGCTTGAGGTGAGTAATAGATGTAGATGATGACCTGAGGGTTTGAAACCCCGGTATATCACA